ATGCTGTGTGGGAGGATATAAGCATGGATTTCATAGTGGACCTACCCAAATCCAATGGTTATGATGCAATCTTGGTGGTTGTGGATAGGTTAAGTAAGTATGGTCATTTTATTCCCTTAAAACACCCTTACACAGCCAGAACTATTGCAGAAGTTTTCGTCAAGGAAGTGGTTAAGTTACATGGGATACCAGCTTCTATTGTAAGTGATAGGGACCCCACATTTTTTAGTTTATTTTGGAAAGAACTATTTCATTTACAGGGCACTAGGCTCAACATGAGCACAACATACCACCCAGAATTAGATGGACAAACAGAGGTTCTAAATAGGACCTTGGAAACATACCGAAGGTGCTTTAGCTCTGAACAACCTAAGGTGTGGTCTCAGTTTATACCCTGGGCTGAGTATTGGTATAATACTAGCTACCAGGGAGCAGTAAAAACCACCCCTTTTGAAGTGGTTTATGGTAGGTCACCACCCTCCTTACACTGCTTTGTCCCAGGAGAAACAGCAGTAGAGGCAGTAGCCCAAGATTTGTTGGCGAGAGATGAAGCAATACGACAATTTAAGTACCATTTGACTCGGGTTCAACAACAAATGACTAAGTTTGCAAACAAGCACAGAAAACCTTCATCTATTCGCGTAGGGGATTATGTGTTCTTAAAAATTCGTCCTCATCGCCAAGTGTCCATGCCAACTAGATTACATCCGAAGCTTTCAGCCAAGTATTATGGTCCCTTTCTAGTTATGCGACAAATTGGCCAGGTTGCTTTTTACCTCCAACTCCCTGACACCGCGCGGATACACCCGATGTTCCATGTTTCCCAACTAAAGAAAACAGTAGGTTCTCATCCTGTTGAACAAGACCTACCAGAAGTTTTACAGGGTCAGACTACAGTTTGTCTTCCCTACAAGATTCTTGACAAGAGATGCATACATCAGGAAAGACAGGAGGAGTCTGTACATTAGGTTTTAGTGCAATGGCAGAATGGAGGACCTGAAGCAGCAACATGGGAGGACAAAGCTACCATGCAATATCAATTTCCTGATTTCAACCTTGAGGACAAGGTTGTTGGGCCAGGAGGGGGTAATGTTAGGAATTGGAAAGTATATGTTAGGAGGAAAAAATTAAATAATAACTAACTGACAGTTAGTTATGGGTGGCAGAGCATAGTTTTTAAATAAGACTATATATAGCTATTTGAGGGGTGAGAGAGGGGGATTATTTTGGGAAGTTAGTTCACTAACAGGATCATTACATCCTGTGAGGGGAAGTTGTTGATTGTAATCAGAGTATTGTTCATGTTAAAAGCAATAATAAAAGTACTTGTAATTATTGTTTCCTGTGTGTGTAAGAGGAGAGACATGAGTTTGCGTGGAACCGTAGATTCTTTCTGTCACAGAACCTAACAGTAACCCTTATGGGATGTTGAATCCACTAACAAGTCTTGAATTATGGAAGTGAGTTTGGAGTCTTGCTACATCTCTTCTTGCCAATCTTCCCATTCCTCACTTTGGAGTGTAGACAAAGGTAAAAAATATCATTTCCTCAATAATGCATCTGCCATTGTATTTTCCTTTCCTACACGATATTGGATCTCAAAATCATATCCAATCAATTTTGAAGCCCATTTAAACTGCTCCTTAGTCAACAATCTTTGGTCAGTAAGAAATCACAAACTTTTCTGATCAGTTACTACAATAAAGTGTCCTCCCATTAAGTAATGTTTCCACTTATGTATGGCCTGAACCACAGTCACGAGTTCCCTTTCATAAACTGATTTATTCTGCCTCCTTTCTAACAGTGCTTGGCTCCAAAAAGCTAATGGTCTTCCTTCTTGCATTAGGACTACCCCTAACCCTTTACTAGATGCGTCAGTTTCCACAATAAATGGTTTAGTAAAATTTGGAACAACCAATGTAGGAAGTTGAGTGACAGCTGATTTGAGTTTATCAAAAGCATCGTGAGCCCCTTTATTCTAATGAAACCCATCCTTAGTCAATAATTGCGTTAATGGTTTAGCTATTTTGCAATAGCCCTGAACAAAATGGCGATAATATCCTATTAAACCAAAAAATCCTCGTAATGCTGACACATCTTTCGGAATAGGCCAACTCTGCATTGCCTCAATCTTCTTGGGGTTCGCTGATACTCCATTTCCAGAAATAATATGGCCTAAATACTCTAGGCTAGACTGACCAAAACTGCATTTTTTTTATTCAACTTCAATTGTTGAATATTCAATACCTTTAGGACCTCTTTAAATGCTGCTTATGTAATTCCACGTTAGAACTGTACACCAATATATCGTCGAGAAAAACAAGTACAAATTTCCTCAAATAGGGCTTAAGTATGGTATTCATAAGAGACTGGAAGGTTGCAGGTGCATTAGTCAGCCCAAAAGGCATGACCAATAACTCATAATGACCCTCATGAGTTTGGAATGCAGTCTTCACATCAGATTTGCACATTAGGATTTGGTGGTACCCTGATTTCAAGTCGAACTTTGAAAATGTAGTTGCCCCTGCCAACTCATCCAATATTTCCTCAATTACCGAAATTGGAAACTTGTTAGGAATTGTTATCTTATTCAAAGCTTTATAGTAGACACAAAAACGCCAACCCCCATCTTTCTTCTTAACCAATATTATAGGACTTGAGAAGGGACTAATGTTGGGCTTAATGATTCCAGCCTTCAACATTTCTTGCATTAATCTCTCAATCTCATTCTTCTGCTGATGAGAATATTTATATGGTCTAAGATTAGGAATTGAAGCTCCTTGTTGTAGGTGAATAGAATGGTCATGACTTCGACTAGGTGGCAAGCCTTTGGGTTCTTGAAAAACTTCATCATTGATGGCCAAAACTTTAAGTATTTCTGCAGGAATCTCTGGAGTAGTAAGACGTTCCAAAGTCTCTTCCCATTTGAGTAAGTAGCAAGAGCCTTCTTCCTTCCATTCGTGCCATAAGATTTTCAACGAAGATTGAGACCTGGACAATGTAGGATCTCCGGATATTATATGTTCTGTACTGCCCTTACCAATAGTTAGCCTTAATCTTCCAAAATCAACTTTAACTTCTCCCAAACTTGATAACCATTCCAATCCCAGCACAATATCAGCCCCACTCAAATCAAAAACATAAAACTGCTGCTGCACTTGATATCCTTGTAAGTCCAGAAGAAATCCGGAGCATCTCTCTTGACAACGAACCTTGTGACCATCCCCTACTTCCATCACAAAAGAGGGTGTATCTTCCCGAAGTAACCCACTTCTAGAAATGAGATTAGAAGAAATGAAATTATGAGAGGCTCCACAATCCAATAACACGACCACTTTTTCTGACCCAATGCTGCCCCAAATTTTCCACGACTTCTTAGTGGTTAACCCTGCCATCGTACATAAGGATAGCTGCAAAACAGGCTCCTGCACACTGTTCGTATTGATCTCTGATTTGGCTAAAGAGTTCTCTAATCCAGAAATTTCTTCCTCAGCCAATAACAACATATGAAGTTGTTTATTGCTGTAGACATGATTCGGACCATATTTCTCATCACACCGAAAACAAAGGCCTCTCTTGATTTTATCTTGTAATTTCGTCTCAGACAACTTCCTGAAAGGAGCCCCTTTAGCACGTGGCCCCCCACTATTACTGCTAGTTACACTGGCAGTATCTGCATATTTACTTTTTGCTTCATTGACCGATCCTCCTAAACTAGTATTTTCTCTGGTTAAACTTCTAGTAACCGTATAAGGCTTCACAGAACTAGTTGCTGAACGATTTCCATTAGAATTAGAAGAATAAGAAACACCTTTTGATGTCACCAAAATTTTTTCTTCCACCAACTGAACCTTACACATTAATTCTGCAAGGGTTTGAGGGTCATACAGCTTGACCTCAACCTTGATTTCATCTTTTAACCCATTCAGAAAGATACCCACCAAATAATCTTGATCTATTCCTTTTAAAAACCCCGCATACTGTTCGAATTGCTCAATGTATTCCTCCACTGTACCTTTTTGAGATAATCCAATCAAGATTTCAAAGGGATTCTTGAGCATATTCGGTTGGAATCGTCGTACCACTGCTACTTTAAATGCTTCCCAAGATGGATGTGGATTAAAGGTTTCCCACCATTGAAACCAATTTAATGCCTTCCCTTCTAATGCTACCATTACCACTTGCATTTTCTCCTCTTCCGAAACAGCCTTTAATTGAAAATAACGTTCTAAACGATTGGTCCATCCATACGCTTCGTCTCCTACAAAAACTGGTATATCGAGCTTCCTCCAACGTGAACTAGATAGATTTGATTCCGTAACAGAAATATTGAAATTTAGTTGACCACTTGATCCTCCCCCCGACTTTGCCACAAATCTTTCAGCTTCTTTCTCTTTATTCGTTAAAGATTCCACCACAAATGTGAGCCCTCGAATCGAGTCTTGCAAATGTTGGAGACGTTCTTGCTGCTGGTTCTCAGTCTGGTCTCATTCTTTCACAAGATCTTGAAGTATCTTGTCGACGCTATCTAATCTGGCCTCAATTCTTGTATTAACCATACCTTGATGCAGCCCTCCCCACAACCAAGATCGAGACTACTGATACCAAATGGTAGATATGATATTTCTGCTAAACTGAATATACCTCTTATTGATATGAATTGACCTATCTATGTGGTAGGACAAAATTCCCTCACACAAAGTAATGACAATGCACTTTACAAACTGGAAGTAATCTTCCCTGTCCTTCCCTTTCTCTCACCACTAGAGATCACCCCGAAAAAATCTCCCAAAAAGATAAACTATAAACTCAGCCCTCCTTGATAGACTTATATACTAAGTCTGTTCTGCTTAAAAAAATAGTTACAATGTCAACTGTTTATTAACCCGTTTTTTCTTTCCTTTTATTGACTAACCTATATCTATCAGATTCCTACAACAAATCTAATGTGCTTACTATTTTATTTGGACACTTAGAATGTTCATCACGATGGGCAGCCAATGCCAGGTGAAGAGCAAGAGGATATTGTGATGACTAGTACCCAGTCTAATATTTTAAATGTTACTTGTCCATTGACTGGAAAACCTCTCACTGAGCTTGCGGAGCCAGTTCGCAGGTAAAATATGAATCATTTAAAATAGTCAGATTTCTGTTAGTAATGTTTTCTTTTGTATTAGTAGTTTGAGTTACAACTTTCTTTTTTCTTTTAAACAAAGTTTACAAAATTTATTTGACTGAACTGTTTTTCCTTCACAACTTTATTTCTTGACATATATGTATAATTGAAATGTATGCATGTCATTTGCTAAGCAGAATGGGTAAACAGAAAATAAATCCTGGTATGTGGTGAAAAAATTGATTGCAAAATTAAAAGTTCTATCTCTGGTAAATCTAGATTTAAATTTTTAGAAAATTCTTGTTGAAATGATAACATATTAAGCATGTTAAACCAGCTTTCTGGTGGACCTGCTAATTTATACAGGAGATAATAATGATTGTGTATATGTTATTAGGGATGTAAATGGGTTGACTTCAGGCTTAAGGCTGAAGAATCCACATGCAAATCAATAAGAAAGACATATCTTAATGTGTCTAATTATCCATTTGGCTGTGTTTTTTCTCAGCTGTGGTCTGAACCCAAAACACGATAAATAAACCTTATTTAATAGATCACCAAAAAGGGTCTGGTGGTGTAGTTGGTTATCCGCTAGTCTCACACACTAGAGATCCCCGGTTCAAACCCGGGCTCAGACAAATTAAATATTTTCTACTTTTTTTTTTTTGCAAATAACTCTGAACTTGGATAAACAATAATTTGCCTGGATATCTTGCATCCATGTGCCATGTGCAACTTCTCTCATAGGTACCTTCCCTGAACTTGGATAAATTAGTCGGTAAACAGCTGACCATACGGGTTCTAAATGATTAGAGCAACTTGTAAATCATTTGACGTTGTTAAATGTTGAACCAAATTTTTTTGATGGATTAAATTAATAAGTTCGAGCTTAATCTATACCCAATCATAAAAATCAGATAGGCTCATGCTTTATAGGTAATGTTAAAAGCTCACGCACACCTTGTGTTGTGTTTGTTTGTGTTCTATCACAAAAAATGTAACTTTATATGAGAAAATTTATGCATATTAATAACTTGTTTATACTTGGTAAATTATGATCTTCTTGATTTATTACTATATACTATTTAACTCTACTTTCCAAAGAGTTGCTTTACTCTCTTCATCTTCTAGTATAATGGTATGTACTCAACAAAATACTAAATTAATTAACAAAAAAACACTTTAAGGAAAATTTTGATAAAGGAAAAGAAAACAAGTTATAAATGAACTAATCAAGTTGAACTCATATTTTTGAACAACACACTCTCAAGTTTTAAATTTTACTACAAATAATTATAAGAGTTTGAGTCGTAATTTTATCAAAGTTCATTTTTGTGATACAAATGTTTTTGCTTTGCTTGACTTGTTTATGTACACTGAATTAGTAAATGTAGTCCCCAGAGTATTTATTTAATCTTTAGCATCACCTTGTCCATAAAGGTATATGCCACATGATGTAGGTCCTAGAATCTAGGAAACATGAAATGAAAATTAAAAATTTAGCAGACAACAGTTTTTTCACTGTTTTTTATAGTAAAAAAAAGTGGATTTAGTGGTGATAAATAGTGCTTCATGACGCTGACCAGCTAAATCTTAGATGCCCTTTGTTTTACCACCAAGGAAATTCATGAGAAAATTGTAACAACTGATAAAAAGAATATAAAGATGATGATATAATATAATGTATGGTAGTCATGTTTCTCTTGCATTGATGTAGTGTTACTCATGCTTCTCTTTCATTAATGCAGCATGGAATGTAGGCACATTTATGAAAAGAAAATAATTTTGCAATATTTGAAGTCAAAGCAACAACGTGGTCAATGTCCAATATCAGGTACATCGAAGTTGTCTTGTGTGAACGTTTACATTAAACCTATGCCACCATTGTGTTTTTCTTTAACCACTATGTCACGTTTGCATTCCTCTTTAACCAAATCTTTGTGTCAGGTTGTCCAAAGATAATCCAGGAAGAGATAAGCTGGTGCAAGATCCGTTGTTACTGATTGAGATTGATGAAATGCGCAAAATGAATAAAGAAACTGATGTAGAAGATTATACAATGCTGAATGGAGAGTAGTGATTGCTCAAACCAACTTTAGTTAGGATTTTTTCTGTATGTTTTAAGTACCTTTAGCCATCCCTTCCTTTAGGCATCCCTTCCTCCTGGTCCATTAGTCTGTTAATTGGAGTGGTTTATGTAAAATTATAATGACTGCACCTTCATGAATTAATTAAATAAAATTAAGATGAGAACAAGATTTTATTCCTTTTATGTCACAACAAATTAGAGAGGGTATGTTTATATTAGGAAGAGGACTTTGTTTGATGTTAATGGATGTTAATCCCTTTTAAAATTATTATTCTCATCAAATAACAGTTATAAGAAATTTCTCTTATTTTACTTATTTATCATTTAGTTTTTTTATTATTTATTTTCTTTCTTAACAAGTAACATGCCTATCATATGAGACATAAAACTAAATTTTTTTTGTTTGACTCATGTGACATTGTATACATTACAAATAAACAAATAAAATAACAATATGTATTAAATGGCTAAATTATTCTTTAAATTAGTATAACATAATTTCATAATTAAGAGTAAGAACTAATTTGAGTCATGGTAATTATATGTTATTCAATTGATATAATTTCTTCCATGTTCTACAAATTAGACTTTTTCTCAATATAAATATAATTAGGAGTTCATAATTCGTTTAACATAATATCTTTATTCAAGACAATACCTGTTTACATTATTCTAACACAATTATGCATGCAATCGTAGATAATAGATACTCATAAACATACCATAATTAAGTTCAATGTGTCAATTGTCTAATACATAATAAACATAATATTTAATAATAATTTCTAATAATAATATCCATGTTTTCAACATGTTAAATAAATGGTAATCTCTTTATTAAAGGGTCAACTATCATAAATTTGTGCTAATATGTTTTATTAACATTCTTTGTTTTTGAACTTCCTCCTTTACAACAAAGTACTTTATCTTCATATGCTTAGCGGCTTCAAAGTACTTATCGTTTTTAGAGAAAAATACCCCTATGAAGTTATCATAATACATTTTCAACAACTTGACAATACAATTGACAATTTCAAGCTATGAAATAAAGTTTTGCAGCCAATTAGTCTAAATTATAGCCTCAAAACATGCTATAAATTCAACTTCCATCATAGATCTAACAACAACTAATTGTTTTTTACTTTTTCACAATATTGCTCCTCCAACTAAAAAAAATACATAGCTAATAGTGGATTTTATTATATCTACACATCCAGAGTATGAATATCCAATCACCTCAAGATGATTAAAATTCCAATATGTAAGCATGTGATCTTTTGTTCCCTATAAGTATCTCAAAACTTTCTTTACAACTTTCCAATGTAATGAAAAACTCTTTCTCCCTCCACCAAGTAGAGTCACGGTCAATCCTAACCATGAACACCCAAAGTGTTAAGAAAATTCTTCCTCAAGTCTATTAAGAGACTCAATACTAACTCCTCCAAGGAAGATTCCTTGTATAGGAGAAGTAGGAAAAAGAATTCCCAAAGAAGACTTTGAAGACTATGAAACATGGTACGAGCAAATATGCTAGTTTCGCACACCAAATGGTAATGCTACACAAAGGGCTTTATATATAGATGCTCTCCTCTCACTTAGTCATTCACCTAGGGGATGTGGAACTAAAATTGCTTTTATAAGCTATGCACAAAATTTGAGCTTGTTCCTAGCTTCAAGTCCCACCTTGCCTACTTTTAATTACATTTAAATGTTTATATACCAAAAATCTCTCAAGTGTTGCAACCAAGAGTTGAAGTTTGGAACTCCTTGAGTGTTTGGAGTGCTTGGCTAGATTTGAGAAGGAAAATATGATGTGTTTCTTTCTGTGGTAGCCAAAACTTTATCCTTGTCCACTATTTTTCAAGTGTCACACCTTCAAGTCTCATCTCCTCTAAATTTGGCTCAAGTGTTTATATATGTGAAACCTCTCTCAAGTTACAACTAAGTATTGAACCTTGGCTCTTCAAATGTGAAAAGTGCTCCTAGCCTTCAAGTTGCTTGCCTAAGATGTGGCGTGGTCCATAATGGCTAGCCCAAGGTGAGTGTGTGTCCCTTATAGTACTAATTTTATAAGAAAATAAAGAATTAAAGCCTATACAGTTTTTACAAAATTTTTACAAAGCCAATAAAAATAGAAAAGGAGTCCTAGTAGTGTAAGCTCCAATGAAGGAACCTCTTTCCTCTTCTATCCCTATGGTCATGAGCCTTGGTTGAGACCCAATGTGTTATGGCCTAGATAGTTCTCCATCAGAACCTCCCTCTTGAGAAGGATCTAACCTCATATGTAAAGCTTCCCTGCAAAAGAATACAATTAGTAACAACAAGTTTATCTATAATTTTGACGTGGGAGACATAATCTAGGTATAACACAAGGATTGAGACTCTCTTTGATCTCAACCCTTCTTTTGCATATATTCAATATTCTATTCCCTAAAAAAAGTTGAAGTCCATAAGATACTTCTTTGGAAAATAGATAATCAATCTCTTAAAAATTGGTTATACTCCATGTGAAAGAGAATTGAGTTTGTAACTTGTGGCAACAAGTTTCCTCTTTTTAAGAGAAGGAAAAAAAGTTGTTCAAACTATAGAGGAGAAATTTATTTTTGAAAAGAATTTGTTAAACAACTATTTTGGAGGGGACACAAAACTCCCAAACTCTATTCCTTCTCAATTCAATTTTTGGTTGAAAGAGAGTGTTTTTATTTTAACTTTTTTTTTCACCCTTATAATTTTATTTTTATTTGGTCCACTCTCAGTTGTTGAGGTGTGAGGACATAAAATTATTTTTCTACCCTTGTGAAAGAAACTCAACTTGTTGATGTGGGCATCATATTTAGTTTGTTTATCAATTTGTCATGGTTGACCAAGTAGGATATGTTTAGCATCAAAAGGAACTACATCACACAAAGTATTTTCTTCATAGGTTCCTATAGATATTAGTATATCTACTTTTTTTTTTATCAATTACTACACCACCATCACTATTGAGTCATTGAAGTTTGTAAGGTTTTGGATGGGGTGTAATAGTTAAGGCTATCTTTTCCACCAACCTAGAACTACAACAAGAACCATTATCCAGAATTAAAGAATAAGTGTTTTTCAAAACTTTACTTCTTATGTGGAATATGTTTGCTCATTGTAATTGCTCTAGTTCTTAAGATTGGCTTATAAGAAGCCTTCTCAAACAAGTAATTCTCCTTCACAAGGGAGAATTTCTTCCTCAGAGTTTAGAACTTCCTTTTCACCTGTTGGAGAGTGAGCCTCAACCTTACTTACGATTTCTTGATCTTTTAAAAATATGATTTTTTCTATAGAGACACTTAGAAGCATAGTGCTTATACCACGATATCGAAAGCATTGAATATATCTAGTTCTAATCTCTTTGGAATGTTCTTTATTTTTATATTTTTCCTTTTCTCTGTGTTTCTTTTTCTCTTTTTTTCTCCTGTAGACCCCTAGTCTTGCCTGACCTCGCAATAAAGTTCAAAAATCTTCCATTCCGAAGATGGATAAGGCTTCATTAGGTCCCTAGTAGTGTTTTCTAGGCTAATTTAAGAAAAAGAGGGTTTTCTTAGAAAATAAAAATTAGGATTTTTGTCAGAAGGCTGGGACGACCGTCCCAGATTCTAGACAGTTGTCCCAACCTTCTTGGTGGCCTGGGACGACCGTTCTAGATTCTAGACGGTCATCCCAACCCCCTTAGTGGCCTGGGATGACCGTCCCAAATCTCAGACAACCATCTCACCCCTTTTTGTAGCCTGAGATGGTTGTCCCAAATTCCAGACGACCGTCCCGCCTGACAAAATCTGGGACGGGCGTCCCAGCCTCCTGGATTCGCGAGCCTATAAATAGGAGCTCATTTCTCCCATTTCCACACACCTGGCTGAGAGTGCTCTCTTCTCTCTCCTACTATGAAACTTTCTCGGGTATTTTTTGATTTGTTTCAGAGTCCGAGTAGTCTTTCCAATTATCCTTTTCGGATTAAATCGATTAAGGAAGTCTCTTTTTGAGACATATGGTGCTGGGTAGTATAATAATTTTATTGTTCGGGGGAGGAGTGCTCTTGTAGAGGGAGGGGACTGCCAAAAAGCGTCATCAAGTTTAGAGATTTATAAAAGCTCGCTTTGGAGGTTCATTTTCTATTCATTCTCTTTTATTGCTTTCCTTTTATTGTTTTTCTTTGTGTGCATTAGAAGTTAGGGTAATGTAGATATTTAATTACTGCACGTAGATATTTAATATATTTTTATTTATTAACTTGTGAATAAATTAATTTAAAATATTTATACGAAGGAACCAAACTTTGAGACATTTGCAAATAGTAAATTATTTATACGAAGAAACAAAACTTTGACACTAGTAATATAGTATTATCTTATGTATCATGTAAACACTTTGAAATTTTTCTTATACAAAAACTTGTGGTGAGTGTTATACTACATAATAACTTTTTTGATACGTGAAAATAAATTATTTTATTACATTTATTATCAAAACATGGAAAAATTACATTTAAATAATTTTAGGCAAATTTCTTCAAACAAACTTAAAAAAATAAAATAAAAGTTATAATTTGAAAGAACTATTTAAATAGTTATTTAAAAAAAATATTTTTATTTATTAACTCGTGAATAAATTAATTTAAAATATTTATACGAAGGAAGGCACATTTGCAAAATAGCAAATCAAATCAAATCATAGCTATCGAAGCATGGCTTGCAGCGCTAGAAACACAAGCAGAGTTTACAAAGGAATCTTCCAAACCCTGTTCAACATTGGAACTTTAAGGCCAAGATTCGTGCATTCGTGTCCAACCTCGTTGATCCAGAACCTTCTCAAGTTCCGAAGAGACAAGCCCACGGACCAATTGCATCGAGCCCTAGATCAGTGCGGCGTCTACCTCAACCACCACCTCGTTCTCGACGTCCTGCGACGACATCATTCCGATTGGCGACCCGCCCACTTGTTTTTCAACTGGTCCAAAACCGCCGGCTACGAACCCAGTTCCGATGTCTGCAACGAGATGATCGATATTCTCGGCAAAATGAAGCGCTTTCAGGAGTTGCACCAATTGCTCGACGAAATATCAAAGATAGAGGGACTTATCGACGAAAAAATGTTTGCCACCCTGCTTCGTAGGTTCGTGTGTTCTCATAAAGTGGACGATGCAGTTCAGTTATTCCGCAGGAGGAAGGAGTTCGGATTGGATCTTGGTTCCGAGGCTTTTTGCACCCTCTTGATGTGGCTGTGCAGGTACAAGCACGTGGAAGAGGCCGAAACGTTGTTCCATAATGTGATGAAGAAGGATTGGAGGTATTATAAAAAATGTTAAGGTATCATCTACTAGATTTTGTTATGAAATTGCTTTGATTTGTATCCTCCTTATACAGACTTTGAAAAATAAGAAGGAAAAAAAAGTTGACTAGCATATATAATTTAACTTTTCCAAATTTTTACAATTTTTCTAAGTTATGTATAAACTAACTTTTTTTCTTATTTTTCTGAAGGCTCTTTTTACGAATTTGACTACCTAAACTTTTTTTTTTTCCTTACATAAATATCGATTTCGCATATTTTAAAATGTTTACATATCCGTGAAAGGTGGTGACGTTTTATTATCAATCTTTGCAAAACCAAGAACTGTAATAGGTGACAAAATATATGAAAATTTGATGGTTAAATAAGTGAAAAAAATTAGATGGAAAAATGTACGGTGAAAGGTATGTTTTTTCTTACTGGATAATTCATCATTTGACATTATACTTGCATCAACGTTTTATGTGTTAGCTTTCATGTGGCGGTTTTAGGCCTAAAAAATCCAAGTAGGACTACAACATAAAAATTTCTTGTAGATAGACTAATATATAGAGCTTTTAGATGTAAGAACTAAAATGAAAAGTTAATTAAACCCCCTTATTAATACTGAGGTCACAAAATATTTAGTAATGATTTTTTTATTTTTTAAATTACATATAGTTTTTTTATGGAAAACTTTAATGTCTCTTGTAGTGCCGATATAAAGACCTGGAACGTGATCCTGAATGGTTGGTGTGTTTTGGGGAACGTGCATGAGGAAAAGAGGGTGTGGAGAGACATAGTGGCTTCTCCATGCAAGGCTGATGTATTCAGTTATGCCATCTTCATCAAGGCATTGACCAAGAAAGGAAAACTTGGGACGGCACTGAAGTTGTTCCGTGGCATGTGGGACAAGGGTTGTAGGCCGGATGTTGTGGTATGCAACTGCATCATTGATGCTCTCTGTTTCAAGAAGAGGATTCCTGAGGCGTTGGAGATTTTCCGTGACATGAGTGAGCGAGGTTGTGAACCGAATGTTGCTACTTACAATTCTCTTATTAAGTACATGTGCAAGATACAGCGAATGGGGAAGGTGTATGAGCTGGTGGATGAGATGGAGAGGAGGAATGGGAATTGCTTGCCTAATGCTGTTACTTATTGTTACTTGCTCAAGAGTTTGAAGGAGCCAGGGGAAGTTCACGGGGTTTTGGAGAGGATGGAGAGGAATGGCTGTGGTATGAATGATGATGTTTACAACTTGGTGCTAAGGTTGTACATGAAATGGGATGATGAAGATGGTGTGAGAAAAACGTGGGAAGAAATGGAGAGGAATGGATGGGGGCCAGATAGGAGATCATATACCATCATGGTTCATGAGCACTTTGAGAAAGGGAGGGTGAAGGATGTTGTGCGTTATTTTGAGGAGATGATAGCTAAGGGAATAGTGCCAGAGCCAAGGACAGAGAAGTTAGTAAGTTCCTTGAACATTCGGGTGAAGGGGAGAACAGAAAAACGGGAAAGTATTGAAGAGGAGAGAACTAGGCTTTGAGGTCTTGGTATTTGGTCCTATTGTAATTGGATATTCTCTCTACAGCCTCTCTCCTGCAGTTTTATGAAGTGTTATATGTGTCTCTTGTCATGGTTGCGACTAAAATGGGGTGATTTTTGTTGCCAATTCTCCAACCGCATTCTCTACAATTGAATTTGCCATGTTTGTAATTGGAACTTGAAGTGCCTCAGCCAAATGCCACCATCAACATGGTACTGCAACAGCCAGAGATTTTGCAAATGAACGATGTTTCCTGTTGTGCAAGACTTCTGGCCTTGTGGATGACCCATTTCTGTCCCACTATCTGTTTGCAGAGGAACTGGTCCACACTAGCAGCCCCAGGTGGCAATGGGATCTAATTCTGGAATGGGAGAAACATGGCACTTGTTCAGAGTCAGTCCTGAGGCTAAATGTTCGTTTGCATCTTCCCCTTTATGTACCATTGCTGATATTTTCTTGCAAGGATTTAGAGGTCTTGTAGTTATTTTCATAATCACTATTCCAATAATCTCCAACAAGTGTTCTTTCTCCCATAGCTTGCAACTGTAAATTTTATAATATTGGATAATAGGGAACTTTCTTATACGAAGTTGGGTTATAGAGTATGCAGCTGAGAACCAATGGAAGCATGCTTTTTTAAGCATTGTGTTAATTAGTTATTACCCTTTGACTGTGTCTGGACTCACTCGAAGGTGTTTAAAAACACTCATCCCAGCAGAAACTAATGTTTACTTAGACAGATTGTTGTTGGCAGTTAGAAGTTAATGTCCTTTTTAAGGGTATGATTACAAACTCAACATAGTTAGCAATAGCAATATTGATATGTATATGTATATATAGTCTGCAATAATGGAAACTAGCTAAGGGATTACATACAATGTGACAGATCAATTTGACATCTATGAATTTCATTCCCAGCCCATGCAAGCAATCAATTCAGCCTATCAAGTAGTTCTAGGATTGAAGATGTTTGTGTACTGTAATAGACTGTCAAAAGTTGCGTAGTGTTTTCTTTTCATTTTCTTGTGTACTAGCCCAGGATGTTAGACACGTTTGTACATAGCTTATAGATTTAGAAATTCAAATGCAGCTCCAATGACGGAACCTGAGACAACTTCAGCTGTTGAAAAAAATTGTAAATGTTCACAGTGCTCAATAATAACTACTGGTTAGAAAATCAATTATCAAGATTTTGATTAATTTTAAATTTTGATAAATATTTATTTGATTATATCACAATTTTTAGTTGTTACTTTTTTAATCAAAGTCTGCTGGGTAGGGCATGTTGGAGGAGAGAATAATTTTCCATTATATTGTATGATGAACTTCTTTTTTCAGTGAACAAGTTAGGGGCTAAATTAGACATGAATATTGCAGGAATAAAAATTTCAAAAATAATTATGCAAAAACTAAAAATAAAAATATATTTACCAATACTTCGAACAGATTTAAACTTTTCTAATTTGTGTGTCAATTTGCTAAACATATTTGTTGTGTTAAAATTTATATCAGGGAACGTCCATGCTACTTTTTCATTTCCATAAACAAATTGAATTTGTGTCCTACTGAAATCAAATGATTAAAAGATCCAATAGAATGATTAAGATTTATTTTATTTTTCTTTTTGAATTTTTTTGTATGATTTTGTTTTTAATTTCATTTATATATATATATATATATATATATATATATATATATATATATATGTTAATGTATGATTAAATAACAATATAAAAAATTTCTTAATACAATGTATTTTATTTAAATTTCTAATGATATTAGAATATTACATCAATATCATTATATAAATATTTTTTTAATAATATGATGAGGAAAAGATAGATAATATAAATTAATTATGATGGTATTATATATTAAAAAAGAGAACAGAAAAAAAGTATACATATATTGAAAATAAAAAAAGGACCTGTAATACAATTAAGAAATTGAGAGAAATAAAAAATAAAAAAATACTACTACAAAAAATTGTGAAAGAAAAATAAATAAATGGTCATAGCCTCAAAGGAGAAAAGAGCGTCTACACCTGTTTTCGTGAACTTGAATTTATTGGTTTTCTCCCTCCAAAAATCCCCCCGTCCGGTCGGAGGATGACATCAAGTTCACATGGCGGCAGCGGCGGCGGCATCGCTGCACGACTAAAAAACGCCGCTTCCACCTTTTGCTCCAACTCTCAGCCTTTAATCGCTGTAACTAATTCCCACATTTCCCTTTTCTTCACCACTTCTCATTGCTCGTCACTCATTTTCTAGGGTTCTTTAAGATATTCAAAAAACCATACTTATGATGAAGGACATCGCAGTTCAATTGGAGAAAGACAAGCACTCTGACAAGGTTTTTCTCTTTTTCAACCATTCAACATCTTTGTGTTTGATAATATTATTTCCTGAGCTAGAGTGAAATGTGAACATTTCAGGTGAAGGAGCTTGAAGATGCGGTTATTGAGTTAGTAGGACTATCCGAACTCGGTGTGCAATTTTCTTCGCGGTTCAAGTTTTTGCCAATAGATACCAGCCTGGAGAAGAGGTTCGGAAGCTAACACCTTTTGTTTTGTTCCTCTTATTATTGTATTTGTAAGTTATATTACTTATAATTTGAAATCTAATTATCTTATCCTTGTTACAATTGTAGTTAACTAATTTTAATAAGTTGTTTGAGGACGAGCTTTCCAATTTTAAGGCCAACCATTCTTCAGATCTTCCTAAAAATCCTTTAATACGCTAATTTAAGGAAGTTGTATGGGTACGTTGCTTTGTTTTAGCATGTAGATGAAATTATCTATCACATTTTTTTATTATTATTTTTGGTTAGGAATTAGTGGACTTCCGTACTTTTGAAGTATTGTATCATTTCGTTTATAATCTTGTTCATGCAATGAGTAGTGGTGACTGAGTTTAAAGATTGGGAAATGTATCACTCATCTAGAGACTAGAGTGTTGTCTTTATTGCTGGCAATGATTTTAAATTCTAGCAATGTTGATGTAACTACTCTCTCTGGTAAGAACATGTTGCACTACCGTACTTTCACATCCTTGTCTTACGATTATGGGTCCTAGTCAATTGAAGGATACCTTCCCACTACTTTTATATCTGAGTTGTAATTTGCATAATCCTTCATTTGCAATTACAGGAGCTTGTAACACACACTATAATCCATTCCTTCTAAGACACTTTATCATTGGTTAAATTTAATGGGAAAGTAGAAAATCATGAGTGGATCTCATTAAATAAGAAGTGGGACCTACAAAATTACACTCTAGCTCAGGAAATAATATTATCAAACACAAAGATGTTGAATGGTTGAAAAAGAGAAAAACCTTGTCAAAGTGCTTGTCTTTCTCCAATTGAACTGCGATGTCCTTCATCATAAGTACGGTTTTTCGAATATCCTGAAAGAACCCTAGAAAATGAGTGACGAGCAATGAGAAGTGGTGAAGAAAAGGAAAAGGTGGGAATTAGTTACATCGATTTAAGGCTGAGAGTCGGAGCAAAAGGTGGAAGCGGCGTTTTTTAGTTTTGCAGCGACGCCGCCGCCGCTGCCGCCATGTGAACTTGACGCCATCCTCTGACCGGACGGGCGATTTTTGGAGAGAGAAAACCAATAAATTCAAGTTCACCAAAACAGGTGTAAATGCTCTTTTCTCCTTTGAGGTTATGACCATTTATTTATTTTTCTTTCACAATTTTTTGTAGTAGTATTTTTTTATTTTTTATTTCTCTCAATTTCTTAATTGTATTACAGGTCTTTTTTATTTTCAATATATGTATACTTTTTTTTCTGTTCTCTTTTTTAATATATAATACCATCATAATTAATTTATATTATCTATCTTTTCCTCATCATATTATTAAAAAAATATTTATATAATGATATTGATGTAATATTCTAATATCATTAGAAATTTAAATAAAATACATTGTATTAAGAAATTTTTTATACTGTTATTTAATCATACATTAACATATATATATATATATATATATATATATATATATATATATATAAATGAAATTAAAAACAAAATCATACAAAAAATTCAAAAAGAAAAATAAAATAAATCTTAATCATTCTATTGGATCTTTTAATCATTTGATTTCAGTAGGACAAAAATTCAATTTGTTTATGGAAATGAAAAAGTAGCATGGGCGTTCCCTGATATAAATTTTAACACAACAAATATGTTTAGCAAATTGACACACAAATTAGAAAAGTTTAAATCTGTTCGAAGTATTGGTAAATATATTTTTATTTTTAGTTTTTGCATAATTATTTTTGAAATTTTTATTCCTGCAATATTCATGTCTAATTTAGCCCCTAACTTGTTCACTGAAAAAGAAGTTCATCATACAATATAATGGAAAATGATTCTCTCCTCCAACATGCCCTACCCAGCAGACTTTGATTAAAAAAGTAACAACTAAAAATTGTGATATAATCAAATAAATATTTATCAAAATTTAAAATTAATCAAAATCTTGATAATTGATTTTCTAACCAGTAGTTATTATTGAGCACTGTGAACATTTACAATTTTTTTCAACAGCTGAAGTTGTCTCAGGTTCCGTCATTGGAGCTGCATTTGAATTTCTAAATCTATAAGCTATGTACAAACGTGTCTAACATCCTGGGCTAGTACACAAGAAAATGAAAAGAAAACACTACGCAACTTTTGACAGTCTATTACAGTACACAAACATCTTCAATCCTAGAACTACTTGATAGGCTGAATTGATTGCTTGCATGGGCTGGGAATGAAATTCATAGATGTCAAATTGATCTGTCACATTGTATGTAATCCCTTAGCTAGTTTCCATTATTGCAGACTATATATACATATACATATCAATATTGCTATTGCTAACTATGTTGAGTTTGTAATCATACCCTTAAAAAGGACATTAACTTCTAACTGCCAACAACAATCTGTCTAAGTAAACATTAGTTTCTGCTGGGATGAGTGTTTTTAAACACCTTCGAGTGAGTCAAGACACAGTCAAAGGGTAATAACTAATTAACACAATGCTTAAAAAAGCATGCTTCCATTGGTTCTCAGCTGCATACTCTATAACCCAACTTCGTATAAGAAAGTTCCCTATTATCCAATATTATAAAATTTACAGTTGCAAGCTATGGGAGAAAGAACACTTGTTGGAGATTATTGGAATAGTGATTATGAAAATAACTACAAGACCTCTAAATCCTTGCAAAAAAATATCAGCAATGGTACATAAAGGGGAAGATGCAAACGAACATTTAGCCTCAGGACTGACTCTGAACAAGTGCCATGTTTCTCCCATTCCAGAATTAGATCCCATTGCCACCTGGGGCTGCTAGTGTGGACCAGTTCCTCTGCAAACAGATAGTGGGACAGAAATGGGTCATCCACAAGGCCAGAAGTCTTGCACAACAGGAAACATCGTTCATTTGCAAAATCTCTGGCTGTTGCAGTACCATGTTGATGGTGGCATTTGGCTGAGGCACTTCAAGTTCCAATTACAAACATGGCAAATTCAATTGTAGAGAATGCGGTTGGAGAATTGGCAACAAAAATCACCCCATTTTAGTCGCAACCATGACAAGAGACACATATAACACTTCATAAAACTGCAGGAGAGAGGCTGTAGAGAGAATATCCAATTACAATAGGACCAAATACCAAGACCTCAAAGCCTAGTTCTCTCCTCTTCAATACTTTCCCGTTTTTCTGTTCTCCCCTTCACCCGAATGTTCAAGGAACTTACTAACTTCTCTGTCCTTGGCTCTGGCACTATTCCCTTAGCTATCATCTCCTCAAAATAACGCACAACATCCTTCACCCTCCCTTTCTCAAAGTGCTCATGAACCATGATGGTATATGATCTCCTATCTGGCCCCCATCCATTCCTCTCCATTTCTTCCCACGTTTTTCTCACACCATCTTCATCATCCCATTTCATGTACAACCTTAGCACCAAGTTGTAAACATCATCATTCATACCACAGCCATTCCTCTCCATCCTCTCCAAAACCCCGTGAACTTCCCCTGGCTCCTTCAAACTCTTGAGCAAGTAACAATAAGTAACAGCATTAGGCAAGCAATTCCCATTCCTCCTCTCCATCTCATCCACCAGCTCATACACCTTCCCCATTCGCTGTATCTTGCACATGTACTTAATAAGAGAATTGTAAGTAGCAACATTCGGTTCACAACCTCGCTCACTCATGTCACGGAAAATCTCCAACGCCTCAGGAATCCTCTTCTTGAAACAGAGAGCATCAATGATGCAGTTGCATACCACAACATCCGGCCTACAACCCTTGTCCCACATGCCACGGAACAACTTCAGTGCCGTCCCAAGTTTTCCTTTCTTGGTCAATGCCTTGATGAAGATGGCATAACTGAATACATCAGCCTTGCATGGAGAAGCCACTATGTCTCTCCACACCCTCTTTGCCTCATGCACGTTCCCCAAAACACACCAACCATTCAGGATCACGTTCCAGGTCTTTATATCGGCACTACAAGAGACATTAAAGTTTTCCATAAAAAAACTATATGTAATTTAAAAAATAAAAAAATCATTACTAAATATTTTGTGACCTCAGTATTAATAAGGGGGTTTAATTAACTTTTCATTTTAGTTCTTACATCTAAAAGCTCTATATATTAGTCTATCTACAAGAAATTTTTATGTTGTAGTCCTACTTGGATTTTTTAGGCCTAAAACCGCCACATGAAAGCTAACACATAAAACGTTGATGCAAGTATAATGTCAAATGATGAATTATCCAGTAAGAAAAAACATACCTTTCACCGTACATTTTTCCATCTAATTTTTTTCACTTATTTAACCATCAAATTTTCATATATTTTGTCACCTATTACAGTTCTTGGTTTTGCAAAGATTGATAATAAAACGTCACCACCTTTCACGGATATGTAAACATTTTAAAATATGCGAAATCGATATTTATGTAAGGAAAAAAAAAAAGTTTAGGTAGTCAAATTCGTAAAAAGAGCCTTCAGAAAAATAAGAAAAAAAGTTAGTTTATACATAACTTAGAAAAATTGTAAAAATTTGGAAAAGTTAAATTATATATGCTAGTCAACTTTTTTTTCCTTCTTATTTTTCAAAGTCTGTATAAGGAGGATACAAATCAAAGCAATTTCATAACAAAATCTAGTAGATGATACCTTAACATTTTTTATAATACTTCCAATCCTTCTTCATCACATTATGGAACAACGTTTCGGCCTCTTCCACGTGCTTGTACCTGCACAGCCACATCAAGAGGGTGCAAAAAGCCTCGGAACCAAGATCCAATCCGAACTCCTTCCTCCTGCGGAATAACTGAACTGCATCGTCCACTTTATGAGAACACACGAACCTACGAAGCAGGGTGGCAAACATTTTTTCGTCGATAAGTCCCTCTATCTTTGATATTTCGTCGAGCAATTGGTGCAACTCCTGAAAGCGCTTCATTTTGCCGAGAATATCGATCATCTCGTTGCAGACATCGGAACTGGGTTCGTAGCCGGCGGTTTTGGACCAGTTGAAAAACAAGTGGGCGGGTCGCCAATCGGAACGATGTCGTCGCAGGACGTCGAGAACGAGGTGGTGGTTGAGGTCGACGCCGCACTGATCTAGGGCTCGATGCAATTGGTCCGTGGGCTTGTCTCTTCGGAACTTGAGAAGGTTCTGGATCAACGAGGTTGGACACGAATGCACGAATCTTGGCCTTAAAGTTCCAATGTTGAACAGGGTTTGGAAGATTCCTTTGTAAACTCTGCTTGTGTTTCTAGCGCTGCAAGCCATGCTTCGATAGCTATGATTTGATTTGATTTGCTATTTTGCAAATGTGCCTTGGTCCTTCGTATAAATATTTTAAATTAATTTATTCACGAGTTAATAAATAAAAATATATTTTTTTAAATAACTATTTAAATAGTTCTTTTAAATTATAACTTTTATTTTATTTTTTTAAGTTTGTTTGAAGAAATTTACCTAAAATTATTTAAATGTAATTTTTCCATGTTTTAATAATAAATGTAATAAAATAATTTATTTTCACGTATCAAAAAAGTTATTATGTAGTATAACACTCACCACAAGTTTTTGTATAAGAAAGATTTCAAAGTGTTTACATGATACATAAGATAATACTATATTACTAGCGTCAAAGTTTGGTTCCTTCGTATAAATAATTTGCTATTTGCAAATGTCTCAAAGTTTGGTTCCTTCGTATAAATATTTTAAATTAATTTATTCACAAGTTAATAAATAAAAATATATTAAATATTTACGTGCAGTAATTAAATATCTACATTACCCTAACTTCTAATGCACACAAAGAAAAACAATAAAAGGAAAGCAATAAAAGAGAATGAATAGAAAATGAACCTCCAAAGCGAGCTTTTATAAATCTCTAAACTTGATGACGCTTTTCGCGGTCCCCTCCTCTACAAGAGCACTCCTCCCCGAACAATAAAATTATTATACTACCCAAGCACCATATGTCTCAAAAAGAGACTTCCTTAATCGATTTAATCCGAAAAGGATAATTGGAAAGACTACTCGGACTCGAAACAAATCAAAAAATACCCGAGAAAGTTTCATAGTAGGAGAGAGAAGAGAGCACTCTCGACCCGGGTGTGTGGAAATGGGAGAAATGAGCTCCTATTTATAGGCTCGCGAATCCGGAGAGGCTGGGACGCCCGTCCCGGATTTTGTCAGGCGGGACGGTCGTCCTGAATTTGGGACAACCATCTCAGGCTACAAAAGGGGTGAGATGGTTGTCTCGAGATTTGGGACGGTCATCCCGAGCCACTAAGGGGTTGGGATGACCGTCTAGAATCTAGAACGGTCGTCCCGAGGCCACCAAGAAGGTTGGGACAACCGTCTGAGAATGCTGGGACGGTCGTCCAAACCTTCCGACAAAAATCCTAATTTTTATTTTCTAAGAAAACCCTCTTTTTCTTAAATTAGCCTAGAAAACACTACTAGGGACCTAATGAAGCCTTATCCATCTTCGGAATGGAAGATTTTTGAACTTTATTGCGAGGTCGAGGCAAGACTAGGGGTCTACGGGAGAAAAAAAGAGAAAAAGAAACACGAGAGAAAAGGAAAAATATAAAAATAAAGAACATTCCAAAGAGATTAGAACTAGATATATTCAATGCTTTCGATATCGTGGTATAAGCACTATGCTTCTAAGTGTCTCTATAGAAAAAATCATATTTTTAAAAGATCAAGAAATCGTAAGTAAGGTTGAGGCTCACTCTCCAACGAGGTGAAAAGGAAGTTCTAAACTTCGAGGAAGAAATTCTCCCTTGTGAAGGAGAATTACTTGTTTGAGAAGGCTTCTTATAAGCCAATCTTAAGAACTAGAGCAATTACAATGAGCAAACATATTCCACATAAGAAGTAAAGTTTTGAAAAACACTTATTCTTTAATTCCGGATAATGGTTCTTGTTGTAGTTCTAGGTTGGTGGAAAAGATAGCCTTAACTATTACACCCCATCCAAAACCTTACAAACTTCAATGACTCAATAGTGATGGTGGTGTAGTAATTGATAAAAAAAAAAAAAGTAGATATACTAATATCTATAGGAACCTATGAAGAAAATATTTTGTGTGATGTAGTTCCTTTTGATGCTAAACATATCCTACTTGGTCAACCATGACAAATTGATAAACAAACTAAATATGATGCCCACATCAACAAGTTGAGTTTCTTTCACAAGGGTAGAAAAATAATTTTATGTCCTCACACCTCAACAACTGAGAGTGGACCAAATAAAAATAAAATTATAAGGGTGAAAAAAAAAGTTAAAATAAAAACACTCTCTTTCAACCAAAAATTGAATTGAGAAGGAATAGAGTTTGGGAGTTTTGTGTCCCCTCCAAAATAGTTGTTTAACAAATTCTTTTCAAAAATAAATTTCTCCTCTATAGTTTGAACAACTTTTTTTCCTTCTCTTAAAAAGAGGAAACTTGTTGCCACAAGTTACAAACTCAATTCTCTTTCACATGGAGTATAACCAATTTTTAAGAGATTGATTATCTATTTTCCAAAGAAGTATCTTATGGACTTCAACTTTTTTTAGGGAATAGAATATTGAATATATGCAAAAGAAGGGTTGAGATCAAAGAGAGTCTCAATCCTTGTGTTATACCTAGATTATGTCTCCCACGTCAAAATTATAGATAAACTTGTTGTTACTAATTGTATTCTTTTGCAGGGAAGCTTTACATATGAGGTTAGATCCTTCTCAAGAGGGAGGTTCCGATGGAGAACTATCTAGGCCATAACACATTGGGTCTCAACCAAGGCTCATGACCATAGGGATAGAAGAGGAAAGAGGTTCCTTCATTGGAGCTTACACTACTAGGACTCCTTTTCTATTTTTATTGGCTTTGTAAAAATTTTGTAAAAAACTGTATAGGCTTTAATTCTTTATTTTCTTATAAAATTAGTACTATAAGGGACACACACTCACCTTGGGCTAGCCATTATGGACCACGCCACATCTTAGGCAAGCAACTTGAAGGCTAGGAGCACTTTTCACATTTGAAGAGCCAAGGTTCAATACTTAGTTGTAACTTGAGAGAGGTTTCACATATATAAACACTTGAGCCAAATTTAGAGGAGATGAGACTTGAAGGTGTGACACTTGAAAAATAGTGGACAAGGATAAAGTTTTGGCTACCACGAAAAGAAACACATCATATTTTCCTTCTCAAATCTAGCCAAGCACTCCAAACACTCAAGGAGTTCCAAACTTCAACTCTTGGTTGCAACACTTGAGAGATTTTTGGTATATAAACATTTAAATGTAATTAAAAGTAGGCAAGGTGGGACTTGAAGCTAGGAACAAGCTCAAATTTTGTGCATAGCTTATAAAAGCAATTTTAGTTCCACATCCCCTAGGTGAATGACTAAGTGAGAGGAGAGCATCTATATATAAAGCCCTTTGTGTAGCATTACCATTTGGTGTGCGAAACTAGCATATTTGCTCGTACCATGTTTCATAGTCTTCAAAGTCTTCTTTGGGAATTCTTTTTCCTACTTCTCCTATACAAGGAATCTTCCTTGGAGGAGTTAGTATTGAGTCTCTTAATAGACTTGAGGAAGAATTTTCTTAACACTTTGGGTGTTCATGGTTAGGATTGACCGTGACTCTACTTGGTGGAGGGAGAAAGAGTTTTTCATTACATTGGAAAGTTGTAAAGAAAGTTTTGAGATACTTATAGGGAACAAAAGATCACATGCTTACATATTGGAATTTTAATCATCTTGAGGTGATTGGATATTCATAGATGTGTAGATATAATAAAATCCACTATTAGCTATGTATTTTTTTTAGTTGGAGGAGCAATATCGTGAAAAAGTAAAAAACAATTAGTTGTTGTTAGATCTATGATGGAAGTTGAATTTATAGCATGTTTTGAGGCTATAATTTAGACTAATTGGCTGCAAAACTTTATTTCATAGCTTGAAATTGTCAATTGTATTG